TCTAAAAAAAGTATCAGCAAACACACAAAAATCTGTTCCAGGCACTTTTCTACTGAAAGCAAGATGCAGTACCTTCAGTAAATTTACCAAAAAGAAAATTTGAGACTCCAGTGAAGGACTCTGAGAGAAGTATAGAAAATATCTATATGTAGCAGTATTGCCACCAACAAACAAAAAGACCAAACAGAAACAGAATTATTACAAACAGTTAAGAATGATCATCGAGTTAGAATCTATGGAGAGGGCATCACGTGACTACAAACGATCTCACTTCGGCCATATTGTTATGATCGTTTTGACAGATCGTGTATGATTGTTTATGTTTGTTGTTTTTCGAATATTTTTAGTTTTATAATACTTTTATAGAAACTGTAATATTGTATTGTGATAGTGCATAATAATGGTTTCTTGTTTTCAACGTAGTTGCAGTAACAGAAGCAATGTAATAGATATTTACTTATCTTTTTTCTTGGAAATTGAACAAATTTTAAGACCTTTTATTAAGAAATGTTTGATTGATGGGGTTTTGGTAGCAGTGGTTTTTTTTGTGATAACATTCAAATTTGATTGGTAGAAAACGGCTGGAATGAAATGGTATTTGTGCGTTCTGATTGATTTAGAAAATATAGAGAGAAGTTTGAGGGGTCGATGTGAGTCCTGCCAGGAGAAGAAATAAGTATTGGGGCTTTTAAGATCCGGAGATTTTTTCATTTGTAAAAAGTTGTGTTTTGTGTTTATGGAAAGAGTTCCAACTGTTGGAAGAGAAGGAGTTGTTCCTAGAGTTAGGAGTTTGAGTGAGGAGTTGGCAAAGATTAATGCACTTGTAGAAATGGTTTATCAAAAACGATGGGCAGAGGAGAGAGGCAAACCGAATCCGTTTAAAACCTCTCCAGAGACTTACCCTGGAATTACAAACGTATTTCTGTCTTTTTATTTTTTTAACACCGTCTCTATAGAAATATGTTCGTTCTACGATTCAATAAATATCTACGCTTATGTTAATCTCTCAGTGCTCACTGATTCTTCATTTTTAAGTTCCATTTTCTATCGAATGTTGGAAATCATCATGGCTATGCGGAATCTGTTGAATGCCGCTCTAAATAGTTCTGCACTACTGTATTCAAACCATTGTCTCAAGTTCATAGCCCATGATATTCTTCAGTGTTTCCACATTTCCCGCCTTGCATAATAAGTTGCAATAATGAGTATTTTTGCTCTATCATCACATGTCCTAAGTACTGAAGTTTTCTTCTTTCAAGCCATAAAGAAGGGTAGTGAATACATAACACCGAAGCATAGTGTAACGAATAACTTAATTTCTTTGGTTTAGTCTACATTTGATATTTACCATGTTCCTAAGTATTTGTAGGTATCCACACTCTCAATTACAGTATCTTTTAACAATTAATTAGATGTTTGCATCTGCTGACTTAGTCTTGACCGCGCATTTATTTTTTTTTTCAAATTCATCAACATACAAAGATATATAAATAAAAGTTAAAAAAAAATTAAAAGGCTACGCTGGCCTAATTGGGCCCTAAACTACTTTTTGTTTGATGAATTCTAAATTTCGTTTATTTTCGAATTTAAAACATTAAGAGTCATTGACCCCGTCGGTACAAACATCATTTAAGTTTTTTTTTTATAAAGTTCACCTTGAAATCCTTAATAGTGGACCGACCACTATTCGGACAAAATATAAACAGCTGAGTGCAAATATTAACATTTTATCGAATTAATTATTGCACAAATACATTGTTCTAATGTCAACATTCAATATCTAAAAGCACAGATATGATATTATACCACAGTTTTTAGTACTCGATTTGGAAATGCAAGAGTACAACAGCCTTGATAGAGAACCAATTCTACATTGGGAATTTATGGTTTGTCTATTTTCGTCATATCCGAGCTACCCATATTTAACTTATGCAAAAACATAAATTTTTCAATGTAATGTAATGTTACAAAGAAAGTAACATGTTTAATATGAAAAAAGAAAAGACCGATCGTCCAAGAACACTATCAAACAAAGAAGTGTTGACAAAAACAAAAACGAATCTATCCAACTATACTGAGTAACAAACTAACCTAAATACCTACGTATTTTTATTCATAAATTTTTACATATTGACTTATCTTGCCAAAAACAAGTGATAAAATTTTCAAGTTTATCTGTTAAGTTTTGTGGTGGCTGCGTGAATTGTTTGGTGATAAAGAATCATTCAATTTTCGTGAATTTACGGTGTCACTTAAATTTTAAATTTCGTGTAGCGTATTGTGAAGCGTTTTCTTTTTATCGGTCAAAATGATTATTAGTGACGAATCCTGCTTATATCTGGGGATGCACGATAGTTGGGCAAGAGTGAAAAGGCGACGTCATGAAAGATGTGACCCACAATTTAATAGAGAGATACACGTTCACCACACCAGAGAGTTGCAGTCTTAGTAGTGTAGCGGAGCCTCATCTTATTCCATTCCTAAACACCATTCAAAATTTTTCGATTTTTCAGCAAGACAATGCCAGACCGCATGTTGCCAGAGAATGTTTACCTTGACTTCCACGATCACCTGATCTTTCTACAATTGATCATTTCTGGGACATTATTTTTTAATTTGCAACACGTTCTACAGACTTTAGCAGCTCTTAGTCACGAAGTTGCAATGGCCTGGAATGAGATACCTCAACAGGATATACCTCATAAGAACGATGCTCAAGCGTGTCAATGAGTGCATAACAGATCGTGCATCCTCACCACATTATTGAACTAGCTTCTGCGGTCTAAAAATTTAATCATTTTACTATTAAGGAACACTGAACATATATACCAAAAATTATTAAAATCGAATAAATATAAATATGTAGGTGTTTACGTTTTTTGTCACACGGTGTATTTAACGGTACTTGCTCAAAGTTCTTTGTTGATAATATCGTGTTAGCAGAATACAGCAAAGAAATGTTAGAGAAGTTGGAGAGATGGAGAAGGACTATTAAAGGGGAAGGTCAGCAGGTCGAAAGCAGAGTATATAGGGTTGGGAGTAGCAGAAATGGTTGGGAAAATAGGATATTGGATCGAGAAGGGTTCAAAGGAAAGATCTAGAAGAGTGCAGTGAGGACTGCGTTGGTGTATAGTGGTGAAGTATGACCTGGAAAGAGGATTCAGGTAGCTTAAATGAAAATGTTTCTGTGAATGTTGGGTAAGACCAGAAAGGACAGGATCATAAACAACTTGATTAGAGACAAAAACTACACTCTCAAAGAAGATTCAAGAACAAAGACTACTATTGTTTGGTCACGTTGGACATAGAAATGAGAAAGGATAGAACTGTTGAAAGTTGATGGAAAGAGAGATAGAGCTGAAAGGAAAGATATAGAAGAGTGCGGTGAGGACTGCATTGGTGTATGGTGGTGAAGGATCTGTTAAGAGGATTCAGGAAAAAAAGATGGAGGTAGAAAGAGGGTTAGAAGTTGATGGAAAAAGAGATAGAGGTAAACCGAGGAGAAGACGGAAGGGCTGTGTGGCAGATGACTTGAGAAAGAAAGATTTGAATTTAAGTGACTTTAAGTTAGCTTGAGAGCATATTATTACCTCTTTGAAACAAGTCATTAGATTAGCTCACTCTTAAATCTTTAAGTAGCTCTTGGAATGCTAATTTGGTGACATGACAAAGGAAACACTCGGGCAACAAGTTTCGACAAAAAGAATATTTAATGCTGTTGCACTCGAAAAACGCTTTTAAGTATCTACAACTAATAAACAAGCCAATAAAAGCAAGAAATGTCAAGAGAACATTAGAGCAACAGGACAATCTGAGCCATACGCTTTTTTAAGATATTCTATCGAAAACAATAAAAGAATTAAGGTCACAAATAAAGTTTGATTATCTGCGAAGTTTAACTATCCCTTGCGAAAAAAAAGCGGGGCCAATGATCAATTCTTTATCTTTTCAGATATACAAGATACTGACTATATAGGCCAAGAAATATTTTTAAACGTTGTAAAGCAACCGGTCGATGTTGGGAGCAGACAGTATTTTTAGTCAGACGTAATAGTTACACTTCAAGTAAAGTTTAAAAGTGTTAAGTGAAACTAATTTTGATCTCAAAATGTATTTTTTTTGTACTTAATAATCATAAAGTTGCTGTTGTTTTTTTTTGTTTTTAAGAGCCTGTTTACCGATTTTGAAAACTAAAAACCCACGGTATATAATATTTCCTTAGATACTTGTACAAAAAATGTTTTTCGGGAATATACAATCACCTATGACAGAATTAAAACAATATACCTATTGGTTTTCAAATTTTTACAATGACTACTATGCTTTTATATTAATGGTTATTAAAAAAGCCGTTCAGCCAATTTTATGCGATTTAAGTAAAAATTAATTTTTTTAATTAAATTTTAAAGTCACACTAGTCAAAAAAGGTTTTGCCCCACTTTTCCGTATCACAAGTGAAAAAATTTGTCTTCATAAACTGCAAGGGAATTCGATATACTATACCATTTCACAGCTTAAAAAAGTAAATTATCCAGGTATATCCAGTCCATAAGATTCAGCCCAACAGAGTCTGATATGAGATCAATGGAAAATAATTTAACATTTAATCAATTTATGGCATTTATTAGTTAGGTGGTCATTTAATTTTGAAATAGACAACGTTGGTAATACACATATTACCTACAGTGTAAACAAAGACAGACTTTGTTATATTTTATTAATTATGACTTAAATTCTTGTAAGAAATCAATTCTATCTCAATTTGTAATTTTGATATAAATAAATAAAAAATAAAATAAACAAGCAAGAACTAAACTCTCAGACTAATCCAACGGTCCTTACTAATATAAACATTTACCAATTTTTTAAACAGCTCGTATTATTGATTATAAGAAAAATGTGATTATTATGTTATAAATTTAAAATAAAATATGCGCCATCTGCTGTTCAAAATTAAACTTCCTACAAACAATAACAAAACGAAACAAAAGAAAACTCACCCCTATAAATGACAGTTGAACCAGAACCGAGTGAAATCGAAGATAAAAAATGCAACAACACAAAATCTTAAAATACGTGGTGTTTCTCTGAAACCGTCTGTTCACTTTTAAAATAATATAAGTTATAGTCTGTATAATTAATTGTATGGTGTATACATACAAAACCTCGCAGAGTTAACTTTAACCAAAGTTCAAAGTCCAAATTTCTCCGATTCCTAATCTGAAAGAGTGGAATCGAGTAAACAAAACTGATAACAACGATTCGATCCTATAGACAGGTAGCTTAAAGGTGAAATTCCGTGGTTAAACACTGTCGTCTGTCGATGTGTGGCATCCTTTAATCTGTGTTGGTCGGCTTAGAGTAGTTATAAATAGCCAGGGCACGGTGTTACGTAGGCAACACACCTCCGATTAGCTTACACGGGATTTGCAAAACTTTCACGACTGCTTTCACTCTGTATTGTGCATCTCGAATGCACTTTTCGCTATTTTATTGAAGGACGTAGGTTCTTTAAGGGCAGCGTCGGGCCTCCTCTTGCTTTCTATTTATAGTCCAAGAGCCGATTTACAAAAGCCGCTGAGTGGATCATATTAGATTTAAAGTTTATCGTCGTCAAACTGGAGTTCGCACTTCCTATAAAATAAATTTTATCAGTTGATAGGGAAAATATTTTATTTTTTACCATTTATCGCGATGTCAAAAGGAAATTACTACTTGTGAAACTAAAGTGAATCATCAATGAAAACTACTTTATTGATTTATTCGAATACGTTTCGCTTTTATTTTTAACAGCATCATCAATTCACTACAAATAAAAAAGATTTTAAAATATAAGTAAACAACCAACAGGGTTCATACTTACAAAAACAATTTGTAGGTTGTTTTAGATGTTATAAAAACTCTACGATAGCTCAACATTAAAAATTAACAACTACATGGGAGAAACGAAACAAAAAAATACAAGAAAAACTGTAAGAACACTTTTGCTCATTTAATTTTAACCGATGGCTTCATTTGAATGTTGGTTTAAGCTCTTTTGAGGGTCAAACCACACTAATCTTTTCGATTGTTTTCTATCGACTCTAGGATGTCATAATTTTCACATGTGGCTTATTGTCGTACATGTGTTTCTTTGGAATGCAGGGAGGAGGTACGATTATTGAGGGAATTAGCGAGTGGAACGGGGACAGACCTTTTTTTAAAAGAGGATTCATTTTTACTTTTTCTTTAAAAAACAAATAAACAAAAAAATGAAAGAAGAATGGGAATAAAGTTACTGTCTTGTAAGCGGTTTTTCATTTGTTTTGTATGATGAGATAGTGATATATCTGGCTCAAGTTGTCGATGTTGGTTCTCTTATTTCGCGACGATGGATGTTTTAAAATTTAACACTTTTCAAGGATGGATCGCTTATGATATTTTTTTGTTTGTACAGTATTTTGATATTCGTCTGGTCTGGTCTGCCTTGAAGAGAGCGGCTGGTCTGGCCAATGTAGCACACCGTACATGATAGACGACATTAGTTTGTTCTAGAGGGGTAAATGGAGTTTTTGTCTTAGAAAATAGCTTTCCTAAGGTTCTGGTATTTTTTAAGGCCTTTTTGACAGGTAAGTTTTTGAAAAGTTTGTTAAGCTTGTTAGTGATTTGTGGGAAGTACGGGAGCGAAGCATAATTTGTGGTTTGTTCAGAAGTGAGAGGGGACTTATTCATCTGTATTTTGTAAGATATGGACGCTAATGTTAGCCCGTTGGGTGTTTAAGTAATGGACTTGCCATAGCTTTTGAAATATAGAAATTTATTGATGATGAATGCCGGATACGAGTTATCTATGAGAATGGACTTCAGTAGATTGAGAGATTCTTCTTTGTAAAGCGGGTGTGTTAACATGTGTACTCTAAGGCTGAGGGCTTGTACGAGTACATGTTAAGTCAGGTAGTCACGCTTCTTGCTGGTGCTTAAGCTGGTAAGCTGACTCTCCTTACTCGTCGTACAGGTTACTTAAATAGCTGATCTTGTCGTGCTTATCTCGAACGGTTCTTGGCAACGCTTCTTGTAATTGGCCCTGTGCGAGGTAGCAGGGGTCGTACTTATCGGTCTTGTTGCCTCATTTATTTTTCTCTTTTACTTCAATACCGTTTTCCTTGCTGTTGGTAGTCTTTGAGCATCATCTCAGTGGTTTAGACTGTTAAAAGTTGTTTAGGCCAATGGTGAGATAAAACACTCTTATATTATAACAGAATTAGTGGATATTGGTAATAACGGCGTCCGAATTGTAAAAATAATCTGCGAGAACGCCATAAGATATAACAAAAAACACTGGGTGCCATTTTCCAGCTATGTATGCTGATGTTGGTTATCTGATACTAGATACCAGTTCTAATTTGCAAAAATATATTAAATTGATATTTGCAACAATAAACCAACCACACGACGAAATTGGAAGCAAGTTAAATCAATTTTTGAGGGAATGGTAGCTGCATCATCTTTCGGTATAGGTGTAAAAAATTTTTCAGCGTAAATTTGTTATGGATAGATCCTAAGATCTATCTTATGCGCACAAGCTTGCGGTTTTGAACCAGGTATATTATACTTGATTACTATAAGTACTATGGAAATACCATCAAACACTAAAAAAGGTTCCCTCAAACGACCCTCAGATAGTATTTCTTCGCTCTAAAAGGAGCCAGATGAATACACTCAGAATGGCGAAGAGACCCTGAAAGAACTTTTTAGGTTGCACTTTCCTGAGTCACAAGACTGGTACCACTAGACACATGGCAGACTGTATTGGATACCATGACATGGTTCTGGGGAAAACTGGCGTGTGGCAAAAGAAGAAGAAGAAGAAACCAGGAAAAAATCACATGAGCAATAAACTCAAACGCAGCCATATAAATAATTTATCCAATACCTCCACAGAAGCGAAATTATTTTCTCTACAAAAAATTATGTATGATACTGCAGTCTACTAGTTGCTTATAACTGGAGTACATACCAAAAGCATGGAGGCTAACAAGGGTGGCTTTTATAACCAATCCTGTCAAAATCCCTACAGCTGAGAAATCTGATGTAGTTTTACTGAAAACACTGTGGAAGCTGTACTGGATCTCACTCCACATATAATTATAAGACGGGACAAAGGATATTACAGACTGTGAGAAAACCTGATCAACTTACCGGCTAGATCAAGACATAATAACATAATAAATAGCCTAAAGTACCTTTCCAAGTGGACATTTGTCCGCGAGAGGGACGGGGCAGAGGAAACTGTCGATGTAGACTGCAGAGTTAGGACTGGTATAAGGATGGGTTTAAAACTGCAGAAGGGTCACATCCAGAAATATTCGGTAGTGGTGGAAATAAAAACATTCCAGTAGGAGAATATAATTCTGTATTTCAGACAGAGATTTTAGCAATATTGCAGTGTGCAAAAGAAATTAGTATAAGGGCTTTCGAATTAATGCTGGCATCTATGCATCCATGGGGGTTCTCATAGACCTTAAAGTGAACTCTAGGTTAGTGTGGTTGCCAACCCCCACCCAAATAACCCAGTAGTAGTAGTGCAGTGACTAGTGAACAGTTTTCACTAGTTTTCACTAGTCCTGTTGGCTTACGAGACTGAGACTCCGAAAGCCCTGAAGAAGGCAATAGAAAATATCTCGAAAGCTAAGTTTTAGTTTTAATGTATATATATATATATATATATATATATATATATATATATATATATATATATATATATATATATATATATTTATATTTATATATATATATATATATATATATTGGATTTGAAATTTCCGCGGGAGCTATATGTGATTTCAGATGTTTTCCGGGTTTGACTCTGCGTTAAATAGTTTTGGTTTTTAGAAAAACCATTGTTTTGACGACGTTTCGGCAAGGTCACACTTGCCATTGTCAAGTAAGATTAGTTCTGCTTTGTCTTGATGTTTCTGAAGAACTACTCAGTTTCAGGAAAACTACAGGAAGTAGCAAAAATTAGCAAAAGAAGATTACTGTATATAGCACTAAGATTTTCAATGTCTTCTCTTTTGTTTAAGGTGTTTTGTGTAGTTTTAATTAAACACATTTCTAGAAACAGTCTTTTGTTGTAATTTCTTTCCCTTCTCAATATTTCTGTTTGATCATAGTAAGGCGTATGGCCCATTGTAATACAATGTTCACTTAATGCACAGGCTTGTACTTTATTCAGATTAATGTCACTTTTGTGAGATGTTAATCTTCCATACAAATTTCTGGACGTTTCTCCAATATATACTCTTTTACAATTATTACAGGGTAGAGAGTACACTACATTGGAGCTTTCTTTATTATTTAAGGGTGTTTTAAGTTTAGTATATAATTTCGATATTGTTTTTATATTTCTGGTTCCAATTTTGATATTAGGTACTTCTCTAAATGTATTTAGTAGTCTATTTGTTAAACCTGGAATATATGGTAAAGAGTGGTACAATGTATTTTGGTTGTTTGTTGAAACTTCTGTTTGATTTGTCCTGACGACTTGAGAGACACCAAAAATAAGTCTATTTGGCGTAGAATTATTTTTTATGTCTCTGGAAATCGGAAAACGGCGTAGAACGTTATAAACCGACAAGTAGTAGTAATAGTATATACTATATAATAAGGAAACATCAAAATAAATAACGACACATTGATACCACATAAGTGGTAAACATAGTTTAATGTATACCGCAATTATTCACTAAAAAAATATCGATACATTTTTGGCAAAGTAACGTAAGTGACATTTTTGGCGAAAATAATGTTTTTCAATTAAACTATTGTTAAAAAGGTACTGCCAAAGTGTAGTAAGCGTAGAATTACTTTAAACCGTTTTTAGAACAAGTAGGACAAGTTTTTTCAGTCATAATTTAAATAATTTTAACCAAGTTCTATTACAAAATTGTTTTTTCTACAAATCGTGTTTGGTGACTTACGTTACTTTGCCAAAAATGTATCGACATACTAGGTGTAGTAACAAAAATATAATTATAATTACGAATTACTAATTACTGAATGACCGACGTATCTACTAACACTATGATAATAATTTCTCGCCGCCTCCCTGACTATTGAAGAGCAGGGAAGCGAGGATAACAATGAA